AATGCATTGGCCGTTCTAGGAGGGAAAAGAGAAATTTATTTACAAAGACAGCACTTATTTTCCTCTGTCCTTCTTCTTCACCACCAATGATCTGAATGTTGGTGGTTTTATTGTAGGGCTATCTTGGTGCTGTGTCACTTGGTGTGGTTTAGGGCTGGGCTGGCCACAAAATCCAGGACAGACTCTCTCTATTAACCCCTCTCCCCTCCCCAGAAGGGAAGAGAAAGAGAATAAGGGAGAGAGACTTGATGGGCTGGAAAATAAAACTAACAGATTTAATGAAACAATAATACTGTTACTACAGGATAGTGATGTAAATTGGAAAATAATGAAACATATACAGATATGTACAAATATAGATACAAAACCAACATAAAATCCTCTCCCCTCCCCCCCACCAATGACGAATACGTCACCAGAGGCTCTGTGGAGCAGGGCACTGGAAAAGTCCCAGACTGGACCCAGCAGCAGGTGGGAGCAGGATGCAGGGACACACGAATCAGGATCAGAGGCAGACGAACTAGCAGGGTTCTGCTCAGACTTTGGCCATTGCAGGATCAAGACAGATGGAAGGGCTCCAAGATGGAAGGGTTGAGACCTTCGTGATCTGCTGGTTTCAGCAAGTTCAGCCACTTAGAAGAGACTGAGCTGAAAAGTAAAATCACTAAACAGAAAATTAGTTCTATTTAGCTCACACCTGAACACTATTTCAGGAGCAAAAAATAACAAAATTGAACAATATAAAACGATAATTCTGAAGGAGTTTATCAGGAAGTGCATTTTTGGTGAGTCAAAGATACCTGGGAATTCAACAAACAGCTCAAGCTAGGGAAGTTGTTTTTTTAGTGAATAAAAAGAAAAACATGCAGCTTGACAAATCTATGAACAAAACATTTCAGAGATTTTCCTGAAGGCAGCTTTAAGGAAAAGGGCTGCAGGTTGTTATATTACCAAATGATCCATCAGCTGCTTTGGTTCAAATGGCCCAGTATGTTTTGGTCTGCTGATAATGTGATGGTTTTTCATTTTGTTAAGAAACCACAGGGCCTAAGATTTTTCCAAATCCTAGCAAAATGAGCTGAATATTTGAAGGCGTCCTTTTGCACTCCCCCTGTAGAAAATGAGAGTGATAGAATTCAGGTATTTCCACTTCAAAACAGAGAGCATCTGAGACGCTAAAACCTACCTTCTGCTGCGCAGAGCCATTTCTCCCAGAGCTGACCCTCCATCTCCTGTGGACAGACTGCTCCCAGAGGTGGACCCTTGGAGCATGCAAGCCCCGCTGGAGCAGACACCTCTAAGTGCCGCACACGGTGTGAGCCAGCAGCAGGCCTGTTAGCTGCTCTTCCACCACCACTGAGCCCCACTGTGAGGGTGGTGGGGAGCTGGCGTGGGGCAGAGCAGACCCAAATGGACCATCAGGGGTAGTGGTTATGTCTATCTGCAGGAAGACCCTGAGGAAACTCCCCCACGGCATCTTCTGTATGTCTGTGGGAAGCTCTTACACATCCAAAGCCGTGTGTTACCTGGGTAATAGGCCATTTTTGCTAGTAAAAATTTATGCCTTAAACTCCAACCTGGCACAGGTTGCCCAGAGGAGTTGTGGAGTCTCTGTCCTTGGAGATAATCAAGAGCCGATGGGATGTGGTCCAGGGCAGCCATGCATGTCCAGGGCACCGGGGATCTCTAGAGGAGCCTCCCCACCTCAGCTGCTCATCCTCAGGGTCACTTGTCACCTACATAACTCTCACCGTGAAACTGGTAAAGGTTTCCTCCGTTTTAATCTCATACACTTAGTTTTGCAAAAGGAATTAGCACCTACCAAGATTTTCTTACAATATTTGTCTTTATTTGCGAATATGAAAGACACTTTAAAAGCTGCAGCATCTGTTGAGAAAGAAACCACCAGTTTCCCTGTGGTAACTGTTGGCTGAAATTCAAATATATATACAAATATATATTCAAATACACAGCAGCTTGAAACGGCACATGATTATCAGTGTGCTGCTTGAGTGTGCGACCTTTTTTAGGGGAACCCTCAATCCTGTCCGCGGGGCACCGTGTGAGAGGAATGGGCGGCCGTGGCGGCGGCGGGGGGGATAAAAGCGCTCCCGACCACAGTTGCCAGGCGGAAGTGTTCGCGGTTGCTAGCGGCGCTGGCGACCCGGAAGTGAAAGGTAGGCGCTTCGGGGTCAGAGAGCTGTGCGCCGGGCCGGTGCGGAACGGAGAGGTGGGAGCCGGGCAGAGGGAGAGGCATGGGCGTCCCCGGGGATGTGAAGGGTGTGGTGGCGCCGTGGAGAGCGGGCGGGAAGGGGTGCGCAGGGGAAGCCGTGAAGGAGGCTGAGGAAAGGTGGATGGGCAGGGGATGGGGTACCGGGAACACAGACGGGAGGAGGAAGCGGGGACCTTGCAGTGAAGGCGAGAAGAGGAGGTTTGGGGACCCCCGGGTGCGAGGTGCTGGTGACCGGACACCCCCTAGGAGGTGTGCGAGGCGGGGGACGCTGGGAGGGGCTGGAGCCGTCAAGGAAGTGACCCAGGGGAGCAGCGCTGTTCTGTGCCGGGGGCTCCGTGCTGTGTGTTGAGAGGAAGAACGCGGAGACCCCATGTGCCAGCGTCCCCAGGGACAGCTGCAAGTGTCTGTGTCAGGCTGCCGTGCTCACCCGCTTGGGCTCCCTCACTTATGCTCTGAGCGGGGTCAGCTTGGGTGTTAAATCCTGTCCTGTCCTGACCTGGTGGAGATCCAGCAGGGGGAACTGCCACAAAAAGGACAGTTTGCGTCTTTCCAAGCGCCAAACTGTTGCTGCTCTCCAAGCCCTCATTTGAGCTGTTGCTCGTGCATAGCGACCTCAGTTCTTGTCCTGGCTTTGGAGGTGCCAGTGCAAAGATCCAGGTAATAAGCTCCTGCCAGAGTGTCCACAGCTGCTCAGCTGGCCCTGCAATAGCTTTCCATTTGCAGGAGCATGATGCTGGGGCATATGTTAATGTTGGGCCATTCTGTCACTGACAGCTACTGCTTAATACTGACGAGCTTGATGTGTCAGAACTGGTGAAGATCCTGCTGTGAGAAGGGCAGGAGGGCTTCTGTTTTCCAGGACAGGCCTCTGATCGCTCCCCTGCCCAGGCTTCACAGGACACTCGGCCGTCTGGGCAGCTCCTTCCAGAAGGGGATGGGTCAGGAGCAGGTTAATGTGGAAACAAAACTATGTCTTTGGCTTCAGCTCCCCTTCGACCTTTTTACTCAGCCCTGCAAACTCCCAAGTTGAAAAGTGACAGGGCACAGGCTGCTTTCTGCTGTGGAAGTTCCCCTGAAAGTTTGTCCTTTGGGCTCCCATGTCCATGCGAGTGGCAGAACTGGAGCTCCCAGACTAGGCGACACTGCTGGTAGGCTTGTCCTTTTGCCAGAGATCCTGCGGTTTTTGGTTGAACAGCTGTGAGGAGTATTACTTTTATTTTCTAAAACCACGGAACTTGTTTAACAGTGTTCTAGAAGAATGTGTTTTGCTTCAGGTGCATGCAAATACACCAGCGTACAGGTAATTAACTAAGGGTTGAGACAGTATCTTCTCTTGTCACAAGGAGAAACAAGTAATGCGATGTGTGCCTGGACATTTGTACTAAATGTACTAAAACAACTTCGTAACTAAGGACTGTTTTTGTTCTCTTCCACAGCAAAAGAACATGAGTTCAACAGGGAGGAGAAGAGGAAGGCCCAACAGAGGAGGAGGAAGAGGAAGAGGGAGAGGAGGCAGTGGAAGAGGAGGAGGCAGCAGCAGTGGCCATTCAAACAAGTCTCAGCTTGGTGGAAATAGGAAATGTTCAACCAAAATTTGGGATGATGGAGATGATTTTTGTCTCTTTGAGGAACCAAGGCTGGAATCCAGGTATTTCTTTTAATTTGGAGGGGTTTGGCATAGAGATATTTGCAATACTTTGGGGCTGGTTTTTGGACATCTTTGAATATACAGAAGAGTGAAAGGATCATGAAGCTGTTTCAGTATGAAGCAGTTTTTATGTGTGGGAAGTAGGGTTTTTTTAAAAAAGATTATAACCTCCAATTTTCTTTGGTCATAAAGTAATTTCAGAATGTCTTTGATCAGAAAACACTAATAAACACAGGATATTCATTTTTATGTATTACAAAGCAGAAGCTGGGCCATGGAAAATAAGCAATTTAGAATTAATTTAGTATTCTGCATGTATTCTGACCAATGTAGCTTAGAAATGTGTGGTTGTACTGTAGTCTGAGAACGGCTTTAGCTAGCAAGGTGTTTATTGAATCACTCTGGATTTGACATAGGATAAAATACGTATATACATGCGTGTGTGTGCACAGATACAGACACACACATCCTGGTCACATAAGAAAGAACCCAACTGAATAATCCTTAGGTTGTCTTCCTTTGGATTTCCTGTTTTGAATTACAAGGTTGGGTCCTAACACATCCCAGTTCATTCAAGATCCTTTGAGCCAGACAAGTAAGTCATTATTGTGTTCTATTTTAATTTTTAGATCAAGTGCCCCTGCCAGAAGAGGAGGGCAAATGAAACAGAGACCTGAAGCAAGAATGCCTCTGCAGACCATACACATGACATCGGAGAATCAGAGAAGAGTGAAAGAACTTCTTCAGGAGCTTCAAGGGCAGGAGCTGACTCCTGAATCAGAGTTAGTTTAAATGGAGGCACTACTTCTAGCTCTTCTAGATGAGCATGCTTTACCAGGCACATTGTTAGAAATTAAAACAGTATTCTTTTTTCCCTTAATTTTTATTTTGGTGTCGAATCCTGTGGTTTTGAATCTGCTGTGTTCTTCTATAGTATTGACTCTGGGAAAGGTGTAGCAGAATCCTCCACTTAAATGGAGGATTTAAAACTGCAGAGGTGGAGTTTTGTGTCTGCTCAATAATATTACCATGTTTCATTTTAATTTGATAATTCCTTTTATCAGAGTAGCTGGTTCTGGTGAAGACGATGACGAACCCGATTACCTTGATGATGAACAGTGCTGGTCAGCAGATCAGGAGGTTTCTGACGTAAAACCAAGGCTGTCTGCTGAGCCAGCTGAGCACAGAGTTGTGGAAAGTGAAGTGTCTTCGTTTGCTGTGCACAAACTCTCCAGGTGATGCTTTTCAGTGAATAATTTGTATCCTGAAGAGAGAAATCATGTCTCGATACCGTAACCCCTTAGTGCTTGGACTTCCTTTTGATGCCAGGGAAGTTCTCTGTGCAGAACTGATGAGGTTGTATCTCCTACAAATTTAATCCTCAACTAGATGAATTTAAAATAATGGTTTTATGTAAATGAATCACTTCAGCCTTTTTTCAGTGAAATTTTCAGTTCTTTCTCCAAAGCAATGAAACAAATATTGGGAAAGCTTATGTAATATGTCTGTTTCTTCCAGATATGTAATGTTTCAAAACCTTGTAAGTGTTCTTTATCCATTTTGCTCAGATATGAGCATTTATTAACTATGTTTGCTGTGAGAGTGGTTTATATGTGAGAGGAATCGTTTTTTTCTGAAGAGTTTAATTTATAAAGTTTAACTGAGAAATCTGATCTTGTAACTATTATGTGCTACATTCTGAGGTGGGAGATAGTTGCCACATAATTAGTTGCCTTATAAACAACAGATGAGCATTCACAGACACCAAATTACTGCCTGCTGCTGTCATTTAAAATAGCATAAATATTTTGGTGTAGGTTTTTTTTCCCCCCAATAGTAGTAGTAGTATCTCATGCCATACGTGCTTCCCTGCTGTAAGCCTAGTCAAGCAGATCTGTGGCTATTTTGCTTTATACAAGTTTCTGTCACTCATGTGTTGCCACATTGTCTCTGTTTTGTTGCAGGTATGGGTTTGACAGTGAGCATTGTAGGACAGTACTGAGATCCTGCAATGGAAATATTGGGGCGTCATTGGAGTATTTGATATTGCAGTGCTTTACCGAAAGATATGGAGAGCAGATGGAGGTTTCTGCAACAGCTGCTGAAGCCAGCCAAGTAGAGTGTTTAGAACAGAGACAAGAAGAGGCTTTTGTCCTCCGGTCAATCTATGGAGAAAAGTTTGTAGAAAGAATTCAAAACCGAGTTTGGACTTTTAGTTTGGAATTGGAGTACCTGGCAAAGAGACATGACAAATCTAAACAAAAGGGTGCTGGGGATGCAGCAAAGCAAACTTCAAAGGAAATATGTAAATTTTATCTCCAAGGAGGCTGCAGGTTTGGTTCAAAATGCAGATTTGGACATGAATTCCCTCCAAACCACCCACTAAAACCAGCCAGGAACTGTGTAGATGATGCTCATCTCAGGTCAAACGATGGTCCCATATATGAACTTGAAGTAAGGTTTCCTGAAGAAAACAAGTATCCACTCCAAGCACCTCTTGTGGCATTTTATTCCACCAACGAGAATCTACCTCTTGCTTGTCGTTTGCATATTGCTGAATTCCTCTTCGGAAAGGCCTTGATAGCTGCAAAGGCTAATGAGCCAGTGGTGTACACCTTAGTGACTTGCTTAGAAGATGAATCCGAAATAAGCGAGTTACTTAAAAATACTCACCACAAGTATAGCGTTCCTCCTGTGCCCCTGCTGACGACACCTTTGGTAAAGCTGCAGACAGAGAGTCCATCTGGTTCAAATCAAACGTCTGAAGGTACACCAATTTTTCCCCTATGATTTCTGGGCTAAGAACAGTCAAAATTATTTCTTAAAAAAAAAAAAAAAAAAAAAAAAGAAGGTAGAGAGCCCAATTCAGGCATCTGCTCCAAATCTGTTCCTGGAGGTTAAGGTCATGTGGTAAGCCAGATCCATAATGTGCCTATGCCTCAGGAAGTCCCTTCCATAATAAAGCTGCAGCAGAGAGGTGTTCTGCTGGTCAAGAACTGAGTTAATGGAGCGCAGAGCCACTGAGTTTGGGTTGGCAGAGTGACCGATGCCTATTCCCATACAATCAATAAAAAGCCATTGAGAGATGTGGGGTGAGTTCACCAGACTTGATCAAAGTGTGCTTGGAGGGGAATGGGGAAGGTTGCTTGCAAGCTTTGGTGCCTCTGCTACTCATCAATTCAGAAACACGTTTTAAAAAAATTACTTAAAATCACCAATCACTCTCTCCTCAAAATTAATTTTGTAAAGGTGGATTTAAGGCTCAGTAAGTGTTCCAAGTGGTTCTATCCTTTTTTATGCGTGCAAGTGCAACTAGTTTGATTGCACAAGGGGAGAGTTGGGACTGCGTCACTTAGGGCAAGGTGACAGCAGCTTCGTGACAGAGATGACTTTCAAGCTCTCACTTCCTAAACTGTTTTATCTGAGGCAAACTTTCTGCAAGAGAGTTTTCAATCACATTTTAGAGCACCTAAATAGTGACAGCCTATTCTTTTTTTAATAGTGAAACAAATTATTCCATTTTTATTAATAGCTCCACAGAAAGACAGCTTTGTTCCAGAAATTGAAATTGGAGATTCCAAATGATCTTTCTTATGTTTTAAAATACCTTGTTTAGATAAATATAGTCTTAAAACTTTCAAGGGCTGGCTTACTCTCTGAGCAAATCCTACTTCAGTTGATAGGCAGGAGGCACCAAAGTACCTGGTCTAGTTTCAGTCTTGATTTAAGTGTACTTGACAGTGGCTTAAAACTTAATGCTACAGTGTAGTTTTAATTAATTTAAGCTGTTGCTGCTGTCACATTCTTGTGCTTCACAGAAGTGGTCATGTGGTGAACTGGAGAGGGGAGCTGAGACACGTGAAAAATGTTGAGGAGGGCAAACCAGTCACTGGTCTGGTTCACCACGTGGCCATCTGGACCATGGTGTTGCAGAGCACAGCTGGTAGTGACGAGTGGGTTGGAGCTGGAGAAGTTGTGGTTTGTTTGATGGGGCAAAGGGAGGTTACAGGTAGTGTTGAACTAAATGCATGTCAGAAACAGTCATGCAGGCTCTCAGCTCCAGTCTAACAAGGTTTTTTGTTGAGAATGCTCCTGGAGCATCTGGAGTGCTGATGGAGTCCTGTTCCTTAATAACAACTATGCTGAACTGTACATGTCGTCTCAAGCCTCAGCAGTGTCAGAGCCTCGGGAAGAGGAGGTGACACAAGAGGAGGAGGAGGATGAGCCTGAACAAGTTGTTGTGGAAGATGACAGTTACGTGAACCTCAAGAAAAAACTTTCCAGAAAGTATGATGTGCAGGCAAAGTCTCTGTATAACGACAATGTTAAAATTTGCACACAGTTTCGTCTGAAAAAGGTATGCTGTACAGAACGGAACGTCTGTTTTCATGCTTGCTTTAGAGAAATAAGTATTTAAGCCGCGGGATGCTGTTTCAGGTGATTCTGTTCCACTCCAGTGGTGTTCTTACTGCCCTGCTGTCTGTTGTTTTGTTTTTTTTTTTTGCATCAGTCTTCTAGGCACTTCCAGTCCATGTTGTGTGAAAGACAGAAACTCCCTGCATGGCAAGAGAGGGAAAACATTCTTGATTTGCTGAGGAACCACCAAGTTCTTGTTGTGAGTGGCATGACAGGGTAAGTGTGATTACACATACAGAATTTATGTTTCAGAGTATACACCAAAGAATGGGAAACATGTATTTGTGTCCTGAAAAGGTTAGGTTTGTGATCCATCTGTAACCAGTGACAAGAGTCCTAGGTGAAGGTCATGTAAAGGATGACACAAATGACACAAAGCAAATTTCAAGTGGAACGCAGTCATCTTAAGTTACATGGATGGAAGGTGTTGAGTTGGTGGCTTGTTTGTTTCGGTTTGTTTCTAATCCTTATTTTGTTGTGCAGATGTGGCAAAACCACTCAGATTCCTCAGTTTATTTTGGACGCTTCATTGCAAGGATCTCCAAGCAAAGTTGCAAACATCATCTGCACTCAGCCGCGTAGGATCTCTGCCATTTCTGTGGCTGAACGTGTAGCCAAAGAAAGAACAGAAAGGATTGGACTCACTGTTGGCTATCAGATCCGTCTAGAGAGTGTAAAGGTGAATATACTTTGCTTGTTAGTTTTCATTTGGTTCTACTAAAATGTGCTTAGTGCTTCTCTAGCATATAGAATCTCTGCCATATAGTGAGACAAGCAAGTCTGTATCACCTGTATTTGATATTATATTATGAAATATGTTCTATGTTTTATTGCATCTCAAGTTGCACAGTCCACTTTACAGAATGAGAGTACAGTACTATGTCTTGTGTCGTTTTGCTTTCTGTTGAGACAGGTGAAGGGGTCTGAGAATAGGAGTAATATTTCTGCCCTCTGGAAGGCTACTGACTTGTTTTCTGCTTGTCTCTATTTCCACTTGTCTTCCAAGTGGAGATTGAAGGGTACAGCTTCAGTCAGCCAGAAGGGGGAGGTTGAATCAAACTGCTGTGTTGGAAGTGAAATTTTGTCTATGTTGCAGCTGATTGCTTTTTTCAATAACTGTTATAAAAGAGATTAACTACGTCTTTCTAAGGACAGAGTTCCTAGTTGTTTATCAGAAAGCAACTTGCACAGGAAAAACAGTTCAGATTTTTTGTTTACCCCATAGAGTTAGCAATGCCTCTTGGTAAGAAGCTGATGCTCTTTAGTTTTAATCAAGAACGAGAAATCATTCAGCCCGTCTCCAGCAGGGCTTGCACATTCCCTTTCTGTCAAAGCTGGCACTCAGCTGAAATAAAATGCAACACATATTCTCTTTGCACTATATTAAGCTGCACAGAGTCAACTGAATGCTTTGTCTTACTGTTCAAGTCCTCAGCTACCAGACTCTTGTACTGCACTACTGGTGTGCTGTTGAGAAGGCTGGAAGGAGATCTGACTTTGCAGGGAATCACACACGTCATTGTTGATGAAGTTCATGAAAGAACAGAAGAAAGGTAAATAACCTCTTATCCTGTAAGCAAAATTTAAAAAACCCAAACCCATAGTCAGAAGGATCAAGGTGACTAAGGTGCAAGTAACTGAAGACAAACTTGTTGATCTTGTGGCAGTAGCGTGGAATGGTGGAAGGAGTCTGGTTGTAGGTTCTTGTCTTTGGACAGTAGGCAGCTGTGTTGCAGCAGCTTGCAAAGAAATCACATCTTTCTTAAATCTCTGTGCCTCCAATCTGCCATCACGTTGCAGTGGTGTTGAAAAGAGGTTTTAGATGGTGCTGGTTAAGTAGCTTTTTAACCACAGTTGTGTGGTTCTTATTCTTCTCTTGTTTCAGCTTTTTCCAAATACCCGAACTCTTCACATGCCCTTTTGGGAATTACTTCTCCTGATGCAGGTGTCAGCAGAGCACCTGCATGGGACAACTGCTTGAGTTCTCTTCCAGTCTATAGATTTTACTAGTTCCAGTCTCATCCTATCCTACTCCAGCCTCCCGCAGCCTTCTGCCCCATTTACCTGCTGATGCTAGGCAAAAGATCACGTCTGTCGGTATCTCTGTAAACTAAGTGGCAAGGATCCTTTTATGTTTTCCTTGTGAAACATTGCAATGCAGCAGGTTTCCTGGAGGCTTTGTCTGTGACCTGTTATTCCACAGCTCAGATTATATTTTAGCCTCATAAAAGGGCTTGCATCTCTTAAGGATTCTTCTTCCTTCTCATCTAAAAATCACTCCAAGCCAGTCTTCTAGGTGTGCCGCAAAGGCTGGAAATATGTTGAGAAGGATACAGTGAGCAGGGAAGAGTGGGTAAGTTTGAATTACTCTTCCAGTGAGGAAAAGGAGCAACAAGGACTTGTCTGTTACTTTGAGTTAATTTGTTATCTAGTGGCATTGTGTTATCATTAAGGTAATTAATTTATAAGGAAGCTAGAGCTTTTTGTTGCTTAAATGAATTTACCAAGTAATCATGACACTCTCTAGTAAGGGACAACCAAAAAGTAAGCAGATTGCCTTCCATTAATTTACTGCAGTATTAGCCTCCAGCCGTTCTGAGAAGCTCATGCTTCTGTGATAGTATTGCTGTGCTGTTGAAAGCACCAGGAAGGTGAACAGAATGGGGAGGAAAGAAGAGCCTCTGGAAGTTAACACCAAAGAAATTCAAATGTCCTTTTCTTATTTCCTTCAGTGACTTCTTGCTGCTGGTTTTGAAGGATGTAATGGTTCAGAGGCCAGACCTGCGCGTTATACTAATGAGTGCCACCTTGAATGCAGAGCTTTTTTCTCAATACTTTCAATCCTGTCCAATTATTAACGTACCAGGTGAAAACCATTCATTTTTATTGTCTTGTCACATTCATTGTCTCAGGGGTTTGTTTTCAGTATTTCTGCTTGCAATGTGTTTGTCAATTCAAGTGCAAGGGGCTAATTTGCAAAGTGACAAGATGAGGAATTGTGATTCCAAGAACTGTGATTCCAAGGGGTTAAAAGGAAAGACCAATGAGATTTAGGAGAGAGAAGACTTGGAAATGAAGCCTTTTTTGTGCTGTCTCTATACTGGAAGAATTTCTTTCCCCAAAAGACACAAAGGACATGGCATGCATGACGTCGTTCCCCTGAGCTGGTTTCACCACAACTGAAGACCCTTCTCTATCCTTGTGAATAAAGAAGCAGTGAGAGGATCCAGCTGAACATGTACACATTAAGCCAAATGTGACTTTTAAATTGCTCAGTTATTACATGAAGCATGACAGAAACACATAGCCTCCTGGGTATGTTCTTGTAATTGTATCAGCCCTTCTATGACTGTGTAAGTGCATGTTGCCAAACCATGCTAGGAAAACATCTACTGCTTGTCCTAGACAGAAATTGTGTTGAAGAGTGCAGTATAGATGAGAGCTGTGAAGCCTGTGTGAAATGATCAACATCTTCTGTATTTTTCCTCTTTGTGTGTTATCTGGCATGTAGATTTATTCTCATGTTTCCTTTTAGGCCGAACATTTCCTGTGGATCAGTTTTTTCTGGAAGATGTGATAGCAATGACAAGGTATGGAATTGCCAAACATTCTCGGATGTATTTGGCCTTTGAGGTGCATTCTTGACCTTGAGACTGCTGTAGTTCTGTACATAAATTTAAAAATCAGATCCTCTCAAATCTCCCCCCTCACTTGCAGTCTTGGAGTTGTACTAAAGCACTCACTTTAAACCATACTTACACTTCAGTGGGCTCTAGGGTCTCATGCCAAAACCAAGCCTTTCTGCATTAGACACTACAGAAGTACTCCAGAAAAGGTGAGCTTTGCAATGAACAGTTTGTCAGTGCTTGTGCTTTGCTTGTTTCAGTGGTGGCTAGATGTTGGCAAGCAAAAGAAACTTGAAGGCAGATTTCAGCGCTGTGGGTGAACAATGCAGGATACCAAACAATTCCTTTTTGTGAGCCCTACCTTGAGGCTCAAGTACCAGTTTCTTGTTACCATTTGTAGTTACTGGGGAGTCACAGCAGCCCAGACAGTCCAGATAGTAAATGGATCAGCTATTGTAAATTACTTGTGGATTGTTGCTCTGAGCTGCCCACTTAGCTGTCAAGATCAAGGTTGCAATCCTAGTTCTTTGCATTGCAGCTTTTAAAAGACATCCCAGTATGGAAGGACACCTTGACCTTGATACTGTCTATGGTTTTGCAACCCACTTATACAAAGTTTCTCTCAAATTTATATATAAATACTTTTGATACCCTATCTCTGTAGCTAATGATTAGAAGGAGACTGTAAGGCTTCTTTCTACACCACTAAATGTCCTCCTGCTGTTCAGGTATGTTTTAGAGGACAGTAGTCCTTACAGGCGCAAGACAAAGCAAGAAAACAAGCAGAATGGAAGGCACAAAAGAACTGCATTTGAAGAAGTGGAGGAGGACCTGAGACGTGCTGGCATTCTGGAAGGCACTGATGCAGTTGTCAGAGATTCAGACCCAGACCAAAAATTAACCCTGAAGCAGCTCCTTACACGATATAAAGGTGAGCTGCTTCTTAAATCCAATGATTTGGCATATAAAATTTGCCAGCCAACATGGTATGTTAGCATATAGTATTGTCTGTTGAATGCATGTTATAATTCAGAGTTTTATACTTGTGAAGTTAAGCAGATCATGACCTATTGATGAGATCAGAAACCTGCCAGCTTTAAAAAACAAAAACAAAAAAACCCACCCAAAACATTTGCATAAACGAGAACAGACATCTTGGCTGAAAACAGTTCTCAGTATCTGGAAAAGGATGGTTTTCAGCCACTATCTGTTTCTCTTTTTAGATGCCTTGTTAATTCCACTTTCTTCTCTGTATCTGTTCTTGCTGGAGCAGCTTTACTTAAAGCATGGCATGTATCTGCCCTCTTCGGAGAGGTCGCTTGAGCACGACAAGCCTTCCTCGAGAAATTCAGTAACTCTGTGAATGGTTTAGTAGGAGAGGCAGACTTTTCCATGAACTTCCCACTCTGCCATCATGAAAATCCTCCTTGTGCTTAGTCTTGAGGAGTTTTTCCTGCACACCCTTATGGTGAGCTCCACAGTGGTACTGAGTGAGAGCCATTGCTTAAAAGCTCCAGATTCCTGCTAGGCAGTTATCATCTCAGAAGAAGAAGGGAATCCGTGTCTTTTTGAGTTGGTGTAAAACACATTGGAAGGGAGAAGAGAGAGCTTGAGAAGGTGGTCCTGGAGGTATCTGTAAGTGGCCATATGAAGGCTTTTGACTCCTCTTACCACTGGAATGGGCGCATGTCAGTCTGCTAGTCGATGAATCCTGGTCCAGGCTGTGCACAGGGCAGGTGTGAGCCCCAGTAAGGCGTAAGAAAGGAAGGGAAGAGCAGAAACAGGAGAGCATGGAAAGGTGTATGTGACACATTGAGTTTCTTATGGAGCTATCTGTCTGGTCCAGCCAGATGCTATTTAAGCCAAGGTGTGGTTGGTTGTTCAGCCACGCTGGTGCAATGCATCCAGCAGATGTTTTTACCAGAGATGGACTTACTGTGTGTTTTATTTCTTTTTTTCCCCAGGGGTTAACAAGGCAGTGTTGAAAACAATGTCTGTCATGGACTTGGACAAAGTTAATCTGGAATTAATTGAAGCCTTACTGGAGTGGATAGTCTCTGGCAGACATTCATACCCTCCAGGTAATTTCACTGTCCTTGAGAGACAGAAGTCTCTCTACAAAAGTAGATTCATGGCAGCTGTGCACTTACAGACTGCCCAAAGCTAATGTTTTGCATGCAAAGTTTCTGTAGTTACTATTTTTGAAGGGAAAAAAAAAAGCCTTAACTGAGTAACAAAGCCCCTGATATACATGAGATGGGGAAGGTGAGAGAATTGTCTAATGCGGAAAGTCTTTGGTGGCAGACTGCTGCAGCCTGTGTTTTATGTACAATAATTGCAAAACAGCTGAAGTTTTGACTTGGGCCTTCTGCACATTGATAAAATATCATGCTGTCCTTTCTGTTGAGTGATTGGTTTGTTTATTTATTTATTTTCATCTGCATATGTAGGTGCTGTGTTGATATTTTTGCCTGGTCTAGCAGAAATCAAGATGCTTTATGAGCAGCTCCAGTCTAATGCTCTTTTTAATAACAGGCACAGCAAGAGGTAAGGCAGAAAAGCTCCACAACTGTCAGTCTTTACCCATTAATAAGGAGTAGCTTCCTGCATAAAGCCTAGCTTTATCCAGGGATAAATAAAGGTTATTAAATGTGTGAGACAGCTTGTGATATGAAGGTCTTGACTCCAGTCAGGGTAATTCTTTTCTATTATCTTCTTGGCTTGAGTTTTTTTTTGTTTGTTGGTTTTTTTCCTCTCCTCAACTCAGGAAGTTTAGTTGCTGAAGTTCTCAGAGACCCTAGTGATGAGTGTTCTCCTTTTTGTGCTCTGCTAGATGCAGTGAACTGTGGAAAACTTCACCTTGGCCCTTGATCTATTTCAGAATGTTGGATTGAGACACATTCAGTTGTGATTAGCCTTAGATTGTTACATGGAGATGCAATTGGATCTCCTTGACTAAACAGTTTTTACACAGATGTCCATGGTGAGGTGAGCTGGAGTGATTTCTTCCAGTCTGTCATTATAAATGGCAGATGCTCAACTCTTCAAAAGAGACAGAACTTTTGCTCAAGTCTGTTCTGAGACCTGTCCCTTCTGTAAACTTCTCCGCTTCCACATGTGTCAGAAATAGTGTGGCCAGTAGGACTGGAGAAGTCATCATCTGTACTCAGGACTGGTGAGGCCACGCTTCAAATCCTGTGTTCAGTTTTGGGCCCCTCACTACAAGAAGGACATTGAGGTTCTGTAGCGTGTCCAAAGAAAAGCAACGAAGCTGGTGAGGGGTCAGGAGCACAGATCTTGTGAGGAGCAGACGAGGGAGCTGGGACTGTTTAGTCTGGAGAAAAGGAGACTCAGAAGAGACCTTGTAGCAACTACCTGAAAGGAGGCTGTAATGAGGTGGGTTTTGGTCTCTCCTCCCAAGTAACAAGCAACAGGACAAGAGGAAAATGGCACCAAGTTGTGCCAGGGGAGGTTTAGATTGGATATTGGGAAAAATTTCTTCACCAGTTTCTGTCAAGCACTGGAACAGACTACCCAGGGAAGTGGTTGAGTCGCCATTCCTGGAGGTATTTAAAAGACTGGTAGATGCGACACTTAGGGACATGTTTTAGTGGTGGACTTGGCAGCGTTAGGTTAACAGTTGGACTCTGATCTTAAGGGGCTTTCCAAACCCAAATGGTTCTATGATTCTGTGTCTTAAAGGTGCTGTGCAGAGAGGTTTGCTGGTTTTATATTGCTTTGAGTGGCTGTGGGCAGTGTCTGGTACTAGTGGGGCCAAAGTGTGTGCAGGCCGATTGTTCCCAAGAGGGACAAGGCTGGAGATGCACTGAGCATGCTGTCCTGTTGTCCTTCCAGGTGCGTTGTTTATCCGCTTCATTCTTCGCTGTCCAGTGAAGAACAGCAGTCTGTGTTTCTCAGACCTTCTGCAGGAGTCATCAAAATCATCATCTCTACAAACATTGCAGAAACGTCTGTCACTATTGATGATGTGGTCTATGTGATTGATTCTGGAAAAATGAAAGAGAAAAGGTACTGGGATTCATTCCTTGGGAACTCTGTGGTCTGGGAAGTTGTTCTATGCCTTGAGCTGAATATTTTAGCTTTTCAAAGAACTGGGAAAAACATGAAGGAACTTGGTCAGCAGAAAGCTGCTGCAAGGTGGATGAAGCCAATCTAGACTCAGATTCAACTGCAGGGCTGGGAATCCTGTCCAGACAGAAGTTGGCAGCATCTGCCTGCTTGAGCTCCAGCCTCTTTACTCTGCACTCATGAGTATAAGCTTGTTTCTTGCTTTCCTGTAGATACGACCCAAGCAAAGGAATGGAAAGTCTGGAAGACACATTTGTGTCCAGGGCAAATGCCCTGCAGAGGAAAGGACGAGCAGGCCGGGTAGCTTCAGGAGTCTGCTTTCATCTTTTCAGTAGCCATCACTATAGCCATCAGCTTATAAAAGAGCAGTTACCTGAAATACAAAGAGTGCCCTTGGAGCAGCTTTGTCTAAGGTGAGCTGTTCCTGTACTGCCTGAAAAAGCTGGCATGCAGAATGTCCTCCCTCCGCTTGCAGGGAGCACCTGGAATGCCATTACCAAGATGTTTGGTTTCCTCGGTGTTTTCTCACATTATGGAACCAAGAAACTTGCTCTGGAGATCTCGGGGTCTGCTGGCTCATGCAAACACTAAATGAAGAGGCCCTCTGATGCCTGCTGCACACTGTGCACCACTTTGTATAAAAAGGAAATGAAAGAACACAAATTATTTTTTACAGTAAAAACTTTATTTTAAACCCTAGTGTGCTAAATAGGAATCCGTTCTTACAGACTCTGTGAAGTTGGATGAGGTTCACTGCTCCCCAGCTATGATTTCACATTGCTTCCTGACTTCAAATACACATTACAGGCCCTCTTCTAGGGAGCATGGTCTTGGAAGTGTGTTTTATGTTGGGTTGTTTGTTTCGGTTTTATAAAGGTTTGCTTTTTTGTCCTGTGTATGGAACTAAGACGCTTTTTAAAAAAATCTTTTCTTATTTTTTTTTCCCCTCAAGAATTAAGATTCTGGAGATGTTTTCTGCACAGAGTCTTCACTCTGTCTTATCACGACTAATTGAGCCCCCTAGAACTGAGTCATTGCGGGCATCAAAGCTGCGACTGCAAGACTTGGGAGCATTAACTCCGGATGAAAAGCTCACCCCTCTGGGATATCACTTGGCCTCTCTGCCTGTTGATGTCAGGATTGGGAAGCTGATGCTGTTTGGCACCATCTTCCGCTGCCTGGATCCTGCGCTAACTATAGCAGCCAGTCTGGCCTTTAAGTCGCCTTTTGTAAGTGTTCACTGTGCATCCCACTTTGAAAGCGATTCATTTTCACGCGGCAGCAAAACGCTCTTGTAACTTGCAGCATGCTACATTTCAGTATGTTAATTCTCCTTTTTGGTGTACATTGTTTACATGTTAATGCAGTGCTCATTAAGGAAGTCCAGTTATAAGCAGAGGACCAAAATCATGAAGCAGTGACAAGAATGTTATTTTTATTATGAGTGAACAGCAGAAACAGAGTGGATGTTAGTTTTAATTTTATCTAAGAGGTACAGCCAGTCCATTTTGTCTGAATTTGGCCTAACAAAAGAAAATGGATGGTAACAAAAGAAGCAGTTAGGAATAATTATGAAGCAGTGATAGTGATGAAGTTGACATGTCTGAGCTGTGAGCGCAGAGTTCAGTTTGGATCTCAGTTTGCGTTCACTTTGGCTTTTTGAATCAGTTGCTGTACTTACAGGTGCTCTTACTGTTGTTCATCTACTGCAATGTCCAGACTTGCATGAAAAGTCAGACTTCCTTGAAGTTTCGATTGCTATCATTAATAGTGCCAGTAGTTTTCATTGAAGATAGTTGTGAAATAACTGAAAATAGATTGTTCCAGTTACTTGTTTTCCATATGCTTATTGAGCATTTTCTACAGCATTTTGTCTTCAAGTGCTCTAAGTTTCTATATGCTGATCTAGTATAACTTAAATTCAGCTTTTTAATGTCCTGAGTTACCTTCTCTCTCTCAGCTCCAGGTGAATTTTAGGCTTGCTGTGCTCTTCTCTATTCTAGGCATTCTCATTTGAGCTTCAGCACCATTAACTTGCCAAGACTTATCAGACAGTGTTTTTCATGGGGCTTTTTTTTGTATCCTGCAGCTCTCGAGAGGTCTGCCCAAAAAAGAAATATTTTTCTGTGAACTGGTCAATCACAAATTTACCTCTGGATCCATTGTGGTTAGATAGGGCAGTGGGTTTAGGTGCTGTACTGTTGACGGGGCATTTTTTAATGCCTCGTATTTTCTGTTATCCATGGAGAAAATTTGCACTCTGACCTGTGAACTGCTGTCTAAATACAAATACAGAAGATTTTGCTATGCAGCTCTGGCAATGTCTTGTCTAAGTTGTGAGGGGAAGAACACACTTAATCTGCTACTGCTTGTCTAGGTGTCACCATGGGACAAAAGGGAAGAGGCAAACAAAAAGAAGCTGGAGTTTGCAGTAGGAAACAGCGACTACCTGGCTCTTCTCCAGGCCTATAAGGTGAGCTAAAATTCAGTAGCCTTTCTGAGGTTTGTGATGTGAATTGAACATGGGAAATGTGACCTGAAATATTTTCTTCCCATCCTCTCAATTAGGGATGGTGTTTAAGTATCAAAGAGGGCTCTCAGGCAAGCTACAACTACTGCAGGGAGAACTTTTTGTCAGGAAGAGTTCTTCAGGTAAGTCAGTTTTTGTGGCCACAAACAGGGACTTCCTGGGACGCTGACAGAGTCCTAGTGATGAAATAAGCAACTGGTGAAGACTCTCCTCGCCCTGTGTGGTACCATCACAGCCCTTTGTCTGTTTGTAGGAAATTGCCAGTCTGAAGCGGCAGTTCACAGAGCTGCTTTCTGACATTGGGTTTGTGAAGGAGGGATTAAGAGCCAGAGACATTGAGAAGAGGTGGTCCCAAGGAGGCGATGGCGTGTTGGATGCCACAGGAGAAGAGGTAATTCACAGCATTTCAGTGCTCCAAAACGATACTGCTGTTTTTCATTTCACCTGGGTGCCAGGTAGGCTTCTTGTCACAGCCTGGCTTTGTAATCTCACACCGGCAGCAGTCACCTCCTGCCTGCTCTGTCTTCTTCCCTGTACATCGTGCATGCTGGTACTAATCTTGATTGCATGAGGCCTCATATGCCCAGGAAGAACAGGCCCAGATGCGGAAGTGAGCTGAAACCTCCTTGAGACAGTGAAACACTGCTGCATTGACACATTAGAAGTCAGCAAGTGGTAGAAAGGCACAAGTCTGACTTATGACCTGGCCTGAATGCTGGGATTAGTGTCAACCTTATTTTGGGAACAGAGTTACGTTACAGAACAGACAGTGACACACTTCAGCATTGCAGGCAATCCTCAGAAAGCAGTACCTCCGGAGCCAGACATCTCCTAGGCCTACACAAAGAGGTGACAAGGGTTGGGTAGTTGTAGAGTCTCACGGTGCATTGGGACAACGTGTGCTTGCTTCCTCTCAGGGACAAGCCATTTTGTAGCCTGACGTGAAGGAACAATTAGGTTTGGCACTAGCTGCATCATGATAGTTAGTGGCTAATTTGTTCCATTGATAGCGGGGAGAATACAGCCCAGGTTTAGCCAGTAACCTGGAGCAGTAACTGGTCCTCCCCTATAAGGCACAGCAATGCAGCTGTAAAAGTAAACCAGGCTCAGGAATTGAATTGTTCCAGAAGCAGAACCTCTGTAGAGTTACCTGTAGAATACTTAAGGTGTGCATTAATTTCACAGGCCAATTCGAACGCAGAGAACATCAAGCTGATCTCCGCTATGTTGTGTGCTGCACTGTATCCCAACGTTGTCCAGGTAAAAGAATGCTCTTTCATTTTCCCTTCTGCTGTCTAGCGTATCCACACAGCCTGTTTTCAGTACGGGCTGATTGTGGCAGCCTTGAGCCTGGCTTAGGTTGCCAAATCTTGCTGCTTGTAGTGTTGGAGCCAGGCAGCTGACCTCCAGTTTGTATTGCTTGAGACTGCTGCTGTTTCTACAGGCTGATTTTAGTGTCTCAGAAGTCAGCAGCAAATGTCAAATGGAAGCTACTTTAAATCACAGCTTTTTAGAAGGCTGAGGTTGCAAATGAACAGTTGGGGTTAGACAGCACCAGGAATGCAGCATCTGTCTCTGGTGACTTGACATGTTGCTACTTAACATGGTAAAGTTTTGGGTTCTGGTTTTGATAAAACTAAAAGATAAGCCAAAAAAGCTTTCTGGTACAGCAGATTTTTATAACTTTTTAATCTTACCATACAGGTGAAAAAGCCAGAGGGCAAATACCAGAAGACCAGTGCAGGAACAGTCAAAATGCAACCAAAAGCAGAAGAGCTGAAGTTTGTTACTAAAACCGATGGTTATGTTCACATTCACCCTTCATCTGTGAATTATCAGGTCAGGATTTTTTTTTTGTTTTGTTTTAAACTTTTGCTTGAGCACTTGAGATTACAGTGAGGGTCTCTATTAATGTTTTTTTTAAAAAAATCTTTATTACTGACCACCCCTGTTAGAACTGTAAATACTGGCGTGTTTCTGAGTTAAGAGTGTCCTCCTGGGCCCAAAGTGAAACTGCAGCCTCTGGAGTGGTGTTAGCAGAGGCAGTAATCCCCCAGCTCCCGTTTTCTTAAACTGTGTGCAAAAATATTGAGGTTGCAATGCTCCCCTGGCTTCTCCTCTATATTGACTTGAGATTGCATGCACGTGTGTAGCACCTTTATATAGGCAGATGACTTCTCCCCACCACCTCTCCTCAGTCTTTGTCTCTTTCAGCTGAAATATCATTCACTGGTAAATAATTCAGGGACATGCTCTGGTTTGTTTCTTTGTGGGTCTTCAAACTCTGAAGTTAATTTCCTTTCCAGCCTAACAGCTAATACTTAGGTAAGAGCTCTTCTCTCTCTGCCATAATACATGGTAATATTTGTCTCATTAAGTCTGTGCTCATATTTGACAATTCATTGCTCTTCAGAGATATAAAATACTTGCTTTAAAAAAGTGAGGTTTTAATAATTACCACATATTTGGGTCATAAAGGCTTTGAACTGTTCACTCTTGCTTTGAAAGAGCATAACAAATGTGTGTATGAAAAAGTCCTTAGCATGAAATGGAGAACTTGGGGCCTTGAGGCAACACTGATGAATTGAGCCGATTCTCACATGCTCACTGCAAAGCGGGAAGGAGCATGGGATAACTGGCAGAGACACTGGCAGCTCTTACAGGTCAGAGTGAGTCTGTCAGTTATGCAGGTGCATTTTTGGCACACTTGCTGTTCTTTGCAGCAGTAGAAGAAGCAGGGGGAGGCCTGTCCAGAAAGAGGCAGGTGAGCCCATGTTTTCCTGAGCAGGTAGGAAGAGATGTGGGAGTCTAAAGAGGGTGTTGTACACATGTTGCAGACAAGGCACTTTGAGAGCCCCTACCTGGTCTATCATGAGAAGATCAAGACCAGCCGTGTGTTCATTCGGGACTGCAGCATGGTGTCGGTGTACCCGCTGGTCCTGCTTGGAGGCGGGCAGGTTCACATACAGCTGCAGAAGGGGGAATTTGTCATTTCTCTTGATGACGGATGGATACGGTTCGTGGCCGCCTCTCACCAGGTAAGGCAAAGGAGGGATAATCCTGGCAGTACTGCAGAGCTGTGCTGCTGTTTACAGCGCAGGAGCTGCATTTCGGGAGCCTCACACTCGCCTCTGTGTCTTGCTGTACACATTAGGTGGCTGAGCTGGTGAAAGAGCTGCGCTGCGAACTCGACCAGCTGCTGCAGGATAAAATCAAGAACCCCAGCATGGATCTGTGCATGTGCCCCCGTGGCTCTCGGATCATTGGTATGATTGTAAAGCTTGTAACCACACAGTGAAGCAAGAACAGCTTTCTACAAAGAAAGATTCACTGCCTGAGAACAGACTAACATCAGCGTCTTGAAGGACTTGTCCCAAAATATGATGCTGATCTCTGGAAGACCAAGTTGGCAACCATGCTATTGACAGATTTCTGGGCTGTTTTTTTTGTTTTGTTTTGTTTTTTGATTTGTGCTTTTTTTTTTTTTTGCTTTGTTTGCAGAGAGCTTGTTTGTTGAAAGTAAGGTGGCTTCCAGTGTACTGGGCGAAAATGGCAGATCTCCCAGAAGGGACAGAAATCTCCAAGCAAGAAAGCATTTTTTTTCATGAGGCTGTCCACTGGCAGTAGTGTTTTCTGGTCACAAAAATACCTGCTACCTAGCTGCTGCTTGCAATAGTAATGTCTGGAGGCAGCATGGGACATCATAAGCTGCTCCCAAATCGGTTTAAAGGCACATCTACATTTTGGCTGAGACTTCACTGAGGCAGTCACTTGTGGCTGGCCAGGGATTGATTTGCTTATAGTTCAACCCAAAGCTCTTAAAAACAAACAAACAAAGCAAAACATGAACACCTTTTGATTCATGTCGTTGTTTTCTGAAACTGATTTAGAGCACATGCTCTGGTGAGGAACCTGTACCAGATCAGTTGGTGTAACTTGTTGGATCAGTGCAGGGTGAAACTGCAGGAGTGTGTGCCCATTTGCCCTGAAAGCCAGGTTTTTTTCCAGTGGGCCCTGCACCTGTGAAAGAGTAAAACAGATGCACTGGACTGCTGTAGTGCATTAAAATGTATCCTGGGGTGGATGGTATTGCTTGCTGTTAACCTCTGCTAGATGGTAGTCCTCCTGCCACCCTGCACAGCTGAAAGGAAGTCCTGTTTTTGGAAACCTTTAGCCAAACTGCATTGTGGAGTGGACTGCTCCAGAAAAGTGTGGTGAAATGCTGCAGTAGTAATGAACTATTACTTCTTCCCTTCAACACTGCTTAATTGCAATGCTGAGCATTGCTACAGCTGAGCTGTTTCATGTTCTTACAATTGCAAATAACAGCAAGTGCCTTAAGTGAAATAACTTTGCTGACATCTGTAATAGTAAAACCAGTGTAAACATTGTCTCTACCACCTGTCCTGCCTAGAAATAGCCTTCAGGCTGAGGAATAGTGAGTGGAGTGAGGCACATCAATCTAGAAACAAAACACCCAACAAACAAACAAAACCAACCACCCTACCCATTGATGTTTGTAGAAGCAGTTTCACAGCACTACCCCCTCCCTTGAGGAAGACAACAGGAATACCAAAACCAACATCCCAGTGCAGCAGAATGGTCTCTGCAGGTATGCTGAACAGCACAAAGCTAAACTGTTCCCATAGCTTAATGGTGGTCAACAGTGGCACCAAGCCCCAGTTACCTGTCCCTGGGCATGCTTGGGGGTTTTTTTCTTGGGCTTTAGTGAGAGCTGTGAAGGCCCAGGACTCCTGGAGGATGGCATTAAAGCGCTGCAGAGGCATACGAAGTGTGTTACTAGCTGTTATTACTAGCCATTAGCTCTGTATGAAGCAGGACAGTTGGATATGGCAGCCATGACAGGGTAAGCAAATGCTGTTTCTGTTCAGGTTGGCTGTGAAGTGAAACAGAGATTCCATTTTGCACCTCCAACTTCCATCCACTTTTCAAGTGGTATCCTCCCGAATAAATTACTTCTCAACCATCAGGCAGTGCTGTGTTTTGAATGGAAACCAGTGCTCAAGCAGGGCCTGTGTGACTCTTCCCCAA